TGCGTTCCACAATGTAACCTAGCAGGATGGATCACATAGAACAAACTGGTAAGTAAACACGTGGTAACATTTCATTATTTCGTTATTTTAACCATATGAACTGCTCACTAGAATAAGTGTTTTATCTTTAAAGTGCCCGATAAACTATAAAATGCGCATGCGTCCAGGTGTTGATAAACTATAAATAGCGAAAATCCAGGGTTTGTCACCACAAGGTAAGCCAGGACGTGTTCAGAGAACAGCTAGTGTTGATATTGAATTTACATGTAGCCAGATAAGTTTCCTTATTGAAATTACATATGGTTATTAGCAATACTTTGTAGGTGCTAAATAATGAAATATTTAGAGTATATATGAGAGAAATTGGTCATTTCGAACCTGTTGAAAAGTTTGTGGCGCTCGGCTACACCGGGGAATTTACTTCCATAAGTACACACATAAATGTGGGGTTCCCCAAGAGGTACGCGACAAGGTGACCTGGCATCAAATGTGCGACTAAATGCCACTATCGAGAAAATAAAATAACGAATACGACAAAGTTATTGCATGTGACAATTCCGAGCATTCATCTCACTGAAGTATTTTGAAGTGAAAATAGGATTTTTGTTTTGATACATGGATTCAGATGAACGTAACTTTATTCTGACAACTAATCAAAACTGAACAAAATTGATTGTACGTAACAGACAATTTATTGTTTTACAATGTTTTGATTGGCTAAACGAATGAAACCAACAAATTATGACATGTAAAATGACAATTTTGAAATGTAAAATTTAAAAGTGACAAACACAACCTCCCTATCCACTCTTTGGGAGCCCTAGTAAATTAGTAATATGTACATGCAGCAGTGGTAGTGTACAGCTTATTATCACACTACGCTTTGTATTCTAAAGCCTGTTGTTTGTAATATCACTGTTCACTCAACGTATGTTTTGTGTGTGGGCAGTCAACGATAATCATTGTTTTATCCCGGTTATATGACCTCGGCAATTATAACAGAACCGTACTAAACGAAAAAACGCAAATAAGAGAAAGCTTTCACACACATATAAAAAATGAACTAGTCTAATCCGCCAGTATAAACTCTGTGCTATACGTAGCAGGGTCAGGCGCACACTTTAACTACAACTATAAACTCAGAA